ATGGCTTTCTTTTCGAAGGAGCACGTTGTTGGCGCTATCGTAATTAACGAAAACGAACAAGAGTCGTCTGTCTGGACCGGGAGAAATTATAAAGTTGCTCTCGTCTGTCCTCACGGAAGGCTTTCTTTTAGTTTTGACGATTTTTGAAATCGGCTCCCTTCGTTGTTGTCGAAAATATATTTTAGGGTACTTTATCAGAGACATCTTTTACGCAATTCTTATTACATTTTCAGACGCCTTACTACATTTTCGTTCTTGTTTTGTTATTTTTTCGTTAGTTTTTATAGTTTGTTTATTTTTCATTCTTGACCCATCGACATTTTTTTTGGATTTTCTTTTTGAGAAATTTGTTCTTTAGAAGAATGTAGAATGTTTAGGCTGGGAGTTAATCACCGCGACCTTATATATTTATTGTGTGTTCCCCTTTCTTGAGTTATAACGAGTTATAACATCATACAGTCTCAGGGCTTTAACAAAAGCCAGTATCTGAGACGGCTCCACAGAGGCCAGCTCTCCATCCTCGACATCAGATGTACCAAAGCTCATGGCACGAATGGTCGTCGTCTCGGCGCACTCAGTGATAAGGTGTTCTGGTGTTTCTCCATTTTCCCCACAAAATCTGCATTCGCCGTTATTTCTCAGCTTCAGCCTACTGAGGTGTTCATTGAGGAGACAGTGTCCTGTTAGAAACCCCGTGACAATCCGAAGATTGTTTTTACTTAAATCAAGAAAAACCTTTGATTTTTCCCGGTCGTAAGTCCTGAGGAACTTTTTCGAGTGTTTTAGACCGTTGGAGGACACCCATTTCAAGTTACGGATGGAGACTTCCAGATTCTTCAGTTCCGCTTTCAAAATTTTGTTCTTTAAGAGGTGTAGAATCAAAATTTCCTATTTCTCCAATTGCCTTTTTCGTTTATTTTGTTTATAGTCAACTTTTGATAGAACTAAAATATCGGAAGCTGGGGTTATCATTTTCTCATGCGGAATAATGTCTTGATTCATACTATTATTTGGAACAGTAATAAAATATACAATATTTATGTAAAAAAAACAAATAAGAAACGAACTAATATTTCCATTAAACAATTTCAAACATTCCAAATAATACAAAAATATTTAAAAGTAATACCTTGTATGCTCGCTTGTATGTAATTATACAGGTTGTTAATTTGTTTATTACTCGCGGCAAGAGCTTTATGGTTGAAACATGGCAACCTCGGCCCGCTTGAAAAGGTAAGCTGCGAAAGCGCTGAAGTCATGATTACTAAATCTCGCTTAAGATGGGCTGGCCACGTATGCAGGATGCAAGAGAACCGCCTACCGAAATCTCTTCTTTACGGTGAACTTGTAGAGGGCAAGAGGAAACCGGGTGGATAACTCAAAAGATACAAGGATGTTTTTCATGTAAACTTAAAGGGGATAAGTATGCAACATAAGTGGGAGGAAGCAGCGCACAATAGAATGCAATGGAGGAGAATTGTAAATTCTGTTAATAACGACAACCAAAAAGTAAAGAGGCAACAAAGTAATGAGATTTTTGAATGTCCGGAGTGCGGAAGAGAAATAACATCACGTATCGGGCTTTTCAGTCACAGAAAAGCTCATGACAGGAAACGCCTTGCGTAACCATCTTCTGATGCGTGTCAAATACTCGTCAGCGAGTAATGGCAGTAAGTAAGTAAGATTTTTATTCGACAGATCTCGTCGTGAAACAAGGATGTGCAAAAAATCTCCGATCTACATATTGTAGCTCTCTAGAAACTTCTAATGCACGCTCAGCCTGGGACACCCTATAGATTTAGATTTCTACGATTTTCTCACGTTTTCCTAAACGAAGTCCCGACTAAAGATCGCCAGTGACATCTCTCTCGGATCTCCTTGGTACGGCCATCATCTGGCCGGTTGTTACGTGGTCTCTCTGTCTGTGGGAATTGGACGTAAAAGGTCTGTGCCGTGCGTATATTAGTTTATTCATTTTTCGAGACGTTTCCTCTCCGTTTTATGCACGATAAACTGACGGAATTCGCAATAAAGTCCTGGAAAGGACGAGATTATTGTGCAAATGTCGTATTTTGTGCGAGGCGGTTCCGTTAGGAGAGCTTTTAGTTTTTAACTTTGTTATCCGTGATAAGTACAGTTAAAGGTTGATTGTGAGATAATAAAGTGGTTCAGAAAATAGAAGAAAATAGTTATAAATAGAAGAACTAATTAATACTATAATAAAGTTGCAAAGAAATTGATATTCTATAGGGAAATTAAAATAACTTCATAATAAATTAACATCATAATACGACCACCAGCAAACTCCATAAGACGACGCATGGTGTCATTGATGACGTGCAACCAAAGTTGTTTTAATTTCCCTATCTATTATATTCTACAGTATGTCCCCGGATTGTCTTTACAAGAAGAAACACTTTTTTATTATTGACCATTTTAAGAAAAATATTCAAAATAATTTTTGTTTGTTCTAAAATGGTTAATCATATATTATATCACGAGACCTATAAATTTAATTGATTAAATTACCCAAATATTTTTTTTTTGATGCAAAAAATTATTTGGGTAGTTTAATCAATTAAATTTATCGTTTGAGTGACATACGGCTAGACTATTTCCTGAATGACTTAGAATGAAGCGAATGAATTAGGATGAAGCAAATAACTATAAGAATTTTATTAACTATAAAATTTAACATATAATCATCCTTATAATCTGTCCCGTCTTTCTTCCGCATATTAAATCCCCAGTCTTTCAATACTTTAGCCAATTCGTCAACACTGGTATCTTTAGTCAGATAGTAATTTTTCGCCATACAAAATTCGAAAAATTGTAGCCACACTGAAGCATGCGTTTTTACAGTATTAATAATTGATACACTTTTCTGAATTGCCAAATCGATATTATCGCCGGAAATATTACTAAACCGTGAATTCATTTTCACTACAGCGGCAGGGGTAAATAAAATTTAAAGACGTTTCAAAATGACGTCTCGTAAGTAATGTTTGTGCTTCTGCTACCTTGGTTACGCATCCCAACAATGCATCGAGGACCGTTTCACATGTCAACATATCAAATTCTGACGTATTTTTCTCCACTAATTTGTTCAAAATAATATCGAATAAGTCATACATATGAGTTGTTAATCAATGTTTTTAAATGAACTGTTGCCAAAATCTCTCAGAATTAGTGATGAACGACAAAAAGAAAACCCAAAAGGAAGCCGAAAAAATAATCGCGGTTAAACTGGTCTTGGGATTTATGCCCACTTGCACCGTTTGTATAAACTTTGTTTAAAGGCTATACAGTTAATCGATCGTGTGAGAGATCGGGGAAGTTAGCAACTCACTGAAAGCAGGAATTATAAAATACGATCCTGCTAGGGCTGCTACAACCCTGCTTCAAATCCCACCCCAGCCACACCTACTAATTTTGAGCTATAGTTACTCTTATTTTAGTTGCTAACTTCCCAATTGGCAACACATAAGAAGCAGGATCGCCAAACCTGGTTCCTGCTTGCGCTGCTATACCCCTGTTGCATCCTGCTCTAAATTTCATCCCAGCAACACTTGCTGTTTTTAAGATACAGCAAGTTTCAGTCTGATTGGTGACGTCACACATAGCAACACAATAAAAGCAGGATGGCTGAAACAAGTTCCTGCTTTGGCTGCTATAATCCTGCCTCATCCTGCTTCAAACTCTATACCAGCCATTTTTGCCGTTTTTGAAATACATACATACATACATACATTGCAAATTAAATAAAAGCTTTTAAAAACATTTTTAAAAACAAGCTTTTATTTAAATGCTCTAAAAAGAAGAAAATAATTTTCTGTAACACTTTTACTATCAACTTATAATCTCATTACACAATTTATATGACATAAAAGCTTGTTGCTGACTTGTCCGCTAGGGCACGGAACGAAACGTAAAAAAATAAAAGTTTAAGGATGGATTGACCATCAAAAATACTTACGTTTCTTTAAAAAAAACACAAATCACACTTGTGAGAACTATGAATACAAATTCATAGTAGAAAACTGGAAAATCTGATGTTATGGTACACTAAAAACTCTAAAGTTACTCCTGAGAACACTGAACCTGCCTTATTTTGTTCAACTGTTCGGAATAATTATTTATTTATGGCTTGGAAGCTTATACATATTTTAGGCAAATAAAGCAAAAAAATAACAGCGTAATCTGAAACTTATCAAGTTAAAAAAAATCATTCTTAATCTTAATGTGCGACTGATTACCAGGAATCGATTCGTTCTATTTTAAAAACGAAAGAGTGGCTGGTATGGGGTTTGAAGCAGGATAAGGCAGGATTATAGCAGCCAAAGCAGGAACTTGTTTCAGCCATCCTGCTTTTATTGTGTTGCTGTGTGACGTCACCAATCAGACTTAAACTTGCTGTTTTTTAAAAAAAGCAAGTGTTGGATGAAATTTAGAGCAGGATGCAACAGGGGTATAGTAGCGCAAGCAGGAACCAGTTTTTAGTTGTAGGTCCTGTACTAGTAGGTTCTAACCAGTAGAAGTTAGCAACCAAAATAAAAGTAACTATAGCTCAAAATTGGTAGGTGTGGCTGGGTTGGGATTTGAAGCAGGATAAAGCAGGATTGTAGCAGCCCAAGCAGGATCGTATTTTATAATTCCTGCTTTCAATGAGTTACTAACTTCCCCGATCTTCGTGTGAAGCTCGCTTAAGAGTGCCCCTATTTTTTTTCAAGGAATGCATCTGGAAAAAGTAATTATTCTGATCGACCACTGCTCAGATAAAAAAACACAAAATGGACAAAAGGTTTTTTTAATAATATTTTTACGTAGTATCGCGCCTGAATATGCATCTATCATAAAGCGAACGATGCTCCTTTTCTGTAGTTTATGATTGAAAAAGTCTATTAAAATCTTTAAACGTGAAAAAAGAATGCAACATTGCAAGAAAAATATATTTTTTTTGCTAAAAGTTGTCTAAATCTTAATCCTGTACTTTAACTTACCTCTGGTTCTGACTTAATAACACTGGGTGGCGATCCGTTGGTCGTACTGTTCGGCTTGTCCTTCTCCTTCAGCGCCTTTTTCTCTTTCCTCTTGACCGCGCACTGGACTTCTGGTACTACGCATTCCGGTCGCATACCCACCGTCAGGCACTTCTTCAGTCGACACTCCTGACACTTCCGTCGCATGTACATGTCAATGTCGCAATTGTTGCCGTACTTGCACTGGTACACTGCGTTTTTCGTGATGCTCCGTCGGAAGAATCCTTAAAAGGAGAGACGAAATTAGAAAAATAAGTTAACAGTTTAGAAATATTGGAGAATTAATTTATAGTTATTAATGATACAAGTTCGATACGAACATCATAATGAAACGCGTGTAACGTTAAGTTAGGTTAGGTTAGGTTAGGCTTAGTTACACAAGTTTCAATAAAAAGTTCGTATCTAACGTGTATCATTCAAAATTTAATCTACGACACGACACGAGGACGATCCAAAGAGATTTGATTTAATTTAAAATATCAGAGATATCCTCATAAAAATTAAAATTCAAAATTATCATATTAGTCGACGCCGTGGTAACCGTGCTTGTTGATTGTTTCCATTTTGACTTTGACAACTTAATTATTGATGTTCAATTTTGTGTTAAACGTTCAGTTTTAGCAAAAAGCAAAAAATAATATTAATATGGGATATGGGTGATTCTGATTTTGAAAGTGTCCCTTTAGATATTGAAGGCATTGCACAAAACGTTGGCGATTCCCTACTTCACGGAAAATCAAGACAAACGTACGAGCAAGCCTATGTAAAACTTGAAAATTGGTGTAAAGGGAAAGGAATCAAGAATAGTAGTAACGAAAAGGTTCTCCTGGCATATTTTGACCATCTTTCAAAACATAGGAAGGTTTCATAACTTTGGGTATATTCTTCCATGCTACGTTCAGTTATATCAGTGAAGAAAAATACAGATATTAGTAAGTACTTTTTTTTATTTAATTGCATTTCTAAAAAGAAAATCGGAAGGATTTCGGTCAAAAAAATCGAGAACTTTAAGAAAAGACGACATAACTCGTTTTTTGTTAGAACCCAATGAAAAAACTTATTTCCTGACAAAAGTTTCATTGATAGTGGGACTTGCGGGAGAAGCGCCTGCCGGCGTATCGAGTTGACAAATCTGCAGCTGCAAAATATTAAAGATGAAGGACAATGCATTCATGTCATTATTCCATTTACGAAAACAAAGATATCACGAGTTTTTTTTTATAACGAAAGAGGATGTTGAAGGAATAAATATGGTAGAAATAGTTCGAATATATATATATAGCTATGCGGCCAAGCAACACAGAGCATACTCGATATTTTTTGTGGGGTACAGAAATGGAAAATGTATTAAGCAACCCGTTGGCATTAATACTTTAGGGAAAATGCCGTATAAAATAGCATTGTTCCTAAGCCTTCCAAATCCACAACAGTACACTGGACATTGTTTCCGTAGATCGTCTGCGTCGTTGCTTGCAGATTCAGGAGTGGATTTATTAACTGTTAAAAGACATGGTGGTTGGCGCTCTAACACAGTGGCAGAGAGCTATATAGAAAATTCCAAAGAAAATAAGAAAAAAGTGTCATGTAATATTTTGGGTAACATTTCTGGCAATGGTGGGTCTTCAACAAGTTCAAGCACTCAGGAAATAAATTTACTTTCTAAAAATTCAACTCACCTGTCATCGTCTGGAATTAATTTAACGAATTGTACTGATATTATAATTAATGTTTACAATAAATAAACGTTGAATATACATACATACATGATATTGAGTGATGTAATATAGCCAATAAGCCGTCGCATTTAAGCAATATAAACCCAACCCAAATCTATTTGGAAATTAAGTATCGTACCAATAGATAGACACCGTAGACTAAATTATATAATATTAATAGATAACTAAACAGGACAACCTCCAAACAAGTCCAAAATGTATTTTCGTAACTTGCTTATATATAGGCAGTAGACAAGGAGACAGCCCCTTCTTATTCAACCTTTTAATGGGCATCATCATAGAAAATATGACCTCGATGAATAAAGACACAACCGTGTTAGCATGGTCTGTTACGCTGATGATGCAGCCATTATCGCGAAGACAGAGGACGATATGCAGAGACAGCTTCATAAATTCTATCAAGTAAGCAGAGAATTAAACATGACTATCTCTACAGAAAAAAAATAAACGCTTAACTTTTTCTAAAGAGCCGGTAAAATACAAACTGTCGTAGAAAACAAATTTATTCAGTTAGTATTACAGTTTAGATACCTAGGAATAGATATGTCGTACTATCACGATCCAAGGAAAGATCTGAGAAGCCAAATAAACAGAGCGATGGTCATGTCAGGTTGTCTGATGTAAAGAATATGGACAAACACCTTCAGACGAACAGACAGCAAAATTAAAAATTATAAGACCTGCATCAGATCAATAATGAAATATGGCATAGAAATTCGAGAGGAAACAAACAAAACCAAAAGCATGTTAATCTTAAGGGCTGCTGGAATGAAGAACCTAAGAACGATAATGGGGAAGACTAGAAGATACAGAATTATTAACACAAATATCATACAACAATGTGAAATACAGGACATAGAAAGCTGGGGTAGACGAAGAAAAAGACAATAGTTTGCACACTTAAAACGCATGGAAGAAAAGAGGCTACCACGTATTGCTCTTGAAGGGAAATCCATGGGTAAGAGACAGCTGGGGAAAACATCCGAAAAGATGGAAAGATAGTACATCTCTATATTAGCCACATTAGCTATATTGTAATTCAAAATATTATTATCCATTGCCCGCATCTACCACAAGTCTATTTTTTCACAGAACTGAAAAAAATCGATTACCATCCAACTGCACAATTTTCATAAATGTTCAAACGTACTTTAGTTTCTTTTTTAATAGGATATATAGCAGTACCTTTGCAACCTTCACATGTGAGCGCGTTATAGTGGTACCCCGATGCCCTGTCGCCGCAAACCAGACACAGTTCCTCCTGCTGCCGCGGAGTGGGCCCTTTTTTCTTCTTGGCATCGCAGCTGTCCGCACTGTACCCGTTCAGGCTGCTAGGTGGTGATAAGTCTTCTCTTCCTGTAAAGAAAGAAAAAATCACAATTAATAATCAGTATTTAATCTATAATAACCACATTAATTGTATTAGCATTACTGTATTTGTAGTCAAATAACTGTATTGAGGAAAATGATATAAGAAGTGTTTTTTAAATTTTCGAATTAAGGAACATAAAGACTATTTAAGAAAGGGCTATTATAAAAAATCTAAGATTGTCATCATTTATGGGTATAAAAAATATTATGAAAGAAGCGATAACATCTAAACTAAACATAAAATAGGATCCATTGGCCCAGTCTTGGTACAGGACTGGTTCAGTACTGTAAAGATCTGGGCCAACTATGCATACCAGTCTCGGTCCAGCTTTGGGAATAACCTGGAATGATAACAAACATGAATGCGTGATTACCAGAGTTGGGCCGAACTTAATCGCCAACACTAGGCCAATTTTGATCCCCAAGGCTAGGCCAAGTTTGATCACCAATACTGGCCCATATTTGTATACTAGTTTTGGCCTGACTGTAGTTATGTAGTGCTATTACTGTGGTGCTATTGTAGTTGTCGATTTAAAACATCGGGCCAGGCTTTGAATCCGACGTTGGGCCATCACTGATCGTCAAGGCTGGGCATGGGCTGGGCTGCCTTGAATGCCAAAACCAAGCCATGTTTGATCGCCGAGAGTTTAATTGTCGAGTTTGATCCACCAGCAAAAAAACAATTGTTTTTGAACCCAGCATTTGGAATAAAGTTAACACACAAATAATTACTTTCATATATTTAGTAGTATTGGACCAAGTCTAAATCAGCAAAAAATGGCCCAGGTTTAATTGACTAACTCTGGTTCAAAGCTGGGTCACCGTAACATAGCCAGAACTGAGATCCCCAGTGTTGGACCAAAGTTTGGTGAATTAAGAGATGGGCAAGACTCGATTTCCCAGTATTGGGCCAAGTCTAAAACACCAAAAAATGGTCCAGGCTTGGTTAACCAATTCTGGGTCAAAGCTGGGTCGCCGTAGCATGGCCGGAGCTGAGATTCCCAGCGTTGGACCAAAGTTGGATGAATTAAGAGATGGCTAAGACTTGATTTCTCAGCCGTGGCCCAAGATAGGGTGAACATAGGATTGGCCAAGCCCGAATTACCCAGCTTTGGACCAATCTTGGTGCGCCGAAGTCTGGTTTCCCGCGACTGGGCCACGCTTAGCCCCGTTGTCAAACTACGGGACATCCTGTATAGGATAGGATCTTTTAATAGAATCTAATTAAATAAATGTATTGCTCTTCATCTGCCATTGTGTTGCCAAGTATATTAGTATGGCTTGGAATCCATACAAACTTGAGTTTGTTTTTACGAATAAGCGTCTGAGTTTTTTGTTTCAGAAGATCTTGCAATATTTCATTAATTTTAGACACGATGTCTAAAGAGTCAGAAATTATTACCTCTTTAGTTTGATTATATTCCTCGATGATATAGCATAGGTTAGGTTAGGCTTTCCAGATCGCAAGATGTGCTGTGAAGAAAGCTGATGCTTCATGTCCCAAAGTCCATTGGAAAACTGACCGTTGATAATAAATGCACATCCAGCACCAGTTTGTGTTTTGGAACCATCAGTATAAATGACAATTTCTTCGTTGTACAGGTCTAGTATTTTGTAGAACTATCGTTGATATATTTCAGGCGATGTGTCTTGACGTTTGGTTTTATGCAGATCTAATATTACTTCAGTTTCAGGTATTAGCCATGGAGGATTTTTATAAGGGATTTCATTGATTATCATAGGGAGATTTTCTTCCATATGACGGGATAGTCAATGTATATTACCTATAGCATAAAATGGCTGTCATAATCACAGTCTGACAAATTAGTTAATATTACTTAGTTATTTTGCACAAAAAAATCCAATGTCTATAATAATAATAAAACAATTTGAATCAAAAATTGAAACAGTCTTAATATATAAAAATAGAACAGCCTAAAATTACCATTCCCTAAACGATTGACGTGTTCATCTTATGACAACAATCAATTTACAAGTCAATAAACGGCAAAAATGTAAACCAGTATCACACTCGGCCAGCATTATTCAATTAGCAGTCATAAGTAAACATACGCATCGATCGAATTTCGGCCAATGGGCCAATAAAAAAAGTGCGTACACATCAACAATACACATGAACGCACTCTCTATTTATTCCTAGCGAGCCACAGCTCTAATCACGTGTCCTCTAAAGGAGGGGACTAGAACACAAGCTGCCTCCTAGGGGGCCACTGACCAACGTTACGTCGTAGGCAAAGGCCGGGGGCAGTGAGCGACCTTGACTTGACGCGAAACCATCGATGACCTTGAATGTTGTTTTTTTTATTGTTTGTTTCTTTTGGTTCGAGATGAAGCTAGTGTAGAGATTGTTGTTAGCATTTTTGGAGAGGCTGATTGGTATTATTGTTGTGTAACAAGCGATGATTTGTTTGCTTCTAGATGATGTGAAACTCACGTTATATTCTGACGTTAGAACCAACCTGTTTAGTTTTGCGTAATAAATTCCTTAGTATAGTTTATTACATTAAATAAACTACATGCCAATCAATTATGTATGCAGATCTAATCTTATATAGAACATGGTTTTAAATTACAGATTTATAATCTGTATTCATAAATAACTTTGTCTTTCGGACATATTATTTCAAATATTTTTAAACAATCTTTTTTTGGGTCCCATCAAAAATACTTTTCGAAGCCCTTAACACACTTCAATATTATTCTAAAAATCGAGAATAATAATATAAAATTTAGAGAAATATGTATATGAAATCCTAAAATCTTTGACAGTAATTATTTACATTTACTATGAATAGATAAATTGCTACCCGGTCAATAATTGGAGATATATAATTATAAAAAATGCAGTAATTGGCAAGAAACAAAAATATATATAAAAAATAAATGCCTTTATTGTCAAAACATTTTACAATTTGTAGACAAAGGTAAACTAAACAAACAAAAGAGTCCAGTATTTATAAATATTTACAATGTCAAAGAATAAAAAAATAAACATAACATCAAAAATATTAAAAAAAAACATATTCAAAAATATATTTAGTAAGTTTATACTAAATATAGTAATAGCAGATATTAGACCAGTGTTTACTAGATCAAATTCGATTATCAAATTATAAGTCATTTACGGCGTAGAAAGTCTTGTCTAGTAAATAAGATTTCAGTGCTTTGCGAAATGAAGAAAATTATGTTATGGATTTGATTTCAAATGGCAGGTAATTGTGCTTTTTTTTTCGCTGTATAATATTAACATTTAACTAACTCTGAGCGTGGGGTGGGTAGATAAAGATCTTGCTCCGCGTTCCGAGTGGATAAGTGTGAGATGGCCTTTCTTGAAAAGTGAAACATGCTTACGTATTAGGCAAGTGTAAAATATAAATAAGGAAGGAAGAGTTAATATTTTTTAATTTTTTAAAAGTCCTGGCAATGAGTTCTGCTGTTTAGTCCCAGTGAATATCGAGGAGCTCTCTTCTGGAGCTTGAAAATGCGGTCAAATTGAATCGCACAACACGTACCCCAGAATGGAAGAGCATATCTGAGGTACGACTCAAAAAGTGCATAATAAACAGTTCTAGCCACTGACAAGTTAAGCTCCTTAGAAACAGATCTTAATGCAAAACAGGCAGAGCATAAATTTTTATATAGATAAAGCGTCGATATGCATGTCCCATTTTAGAGAATTGTCCAAAAAACATATTTTTTTTCTAAAATAAAACGAAAGGTTTAAGCCTATAATAAATAGTTTTCTTTAGATTATGTTAGCATTATAAATTTAATAATAGACATAATGATGAACCTTCAAGATCATTGTCTGCAAAATAACACGGTCTATACAATTGTAAAGTTGTATTCCCATGAGCTTATTAGCTTTTATTATTATTAAGTTTTCTTAAAGTATTCTTTCTCATCATTAAAAAGACCTAAAGAAAATGGAGTCAAGTATTTTTGGTACTCATATAAAAAATACATTTTCGAAACGCTCATGTATTTAAATGGCGTAAAATGTAATCAAGCATCATTACTTAAGCAACTCGTTATAAAAAAAAATTGCCTAAAGGTAAAAATTCGTATAAGACAAAGTATTTTATGGGTTATTTTGGCATTTTATGAGCTGGGTCCGGGTACAAACAAAAAATCTCGTTAGTAGATCATTATAATTAAATTTGGCGTTTTCAAAATTACAGAATATGTAGGTTAATGCTTCCGGTAGCCATGGCAAATTATATTTAATAATTTAAATACTTGATGCCACATTCCAAATTATACACTAGAGAGATAATATAATAGAGGGTTAATATAAAAAATCTAAAATGGATATGTTCTTTAGTGTATTAAATTATTACACAGTTGTGATTGTTACAGGATAAGTATAATTATTAGACCATGTTATAAAAATATGAAGTTTTCATATTAGTTTTTTACCATTCTGCTTATTCCTATACTATTTGAGTTATAAATTATTCTTTAATCTATCTTAATAATATATGCATTGAATAATTTTTCTTTATTTATTGCGAAAATAGATCAAAGATATCTTAACCGGTGATCTTAACCATCTAAGATTCGCTGATGACAAAGTCCTAATTGCCAATAGTCCTCAAATATTACAAGCAGAAATTAATGAACTAATACCAGCAATAAAGTAGGTCTCAAAATGAATATAGCAGAAACTAAAGTAATAGAGAATAAGCAATTAGACAGAAAATACATTTTAATAACTAACACAATACTGGAAATAGTAGAAGAAGTTGTATATTTGGGACCACTACTATGGCAACAGCTCAGAATCTCTACTAGCATGGCGTACATATAAAAGAAACTCAATCATAAACAAATCTAGAATGCCAGTGTATCTAAAGAAGGAAACATTCGACAAATGTGTACTACCAGATATGATCTATGCATGCGAAACCTGGACACTTAAAACGGACATTATAAGAAAACTGCAGGTCGTACAATGCTCGATAGAACAAAATATGTTAAGGTAACCAAGAAAGACCGTAAAAATAGAGCGGATACGACCAATATCCAGGTAATAGATGTTATCCACAGAATTAAATACCTCAAGTAGCAATGAACAGGACACCTGGAAAGAAGGATGGGTAACAGTTGGACCACAACAATTACAGCATAGTACCCACGAGGAACTAAGACACCTCGAAGAAAGCCAAACCTGAGATAGGACCATGATATTAGGAAATTAGCAGGGATAAATTGGGCCTAAACTGTCTAAAAATGTGACGGAGTCTACACTAGAACTGGAAATGGTGGAATAAGCTGAAGATGGTAATGATTGTGAATTTCGACTTCCATATGGATTTATATTGAGTTTGTCTTAATTTTCATAAAATTAAAGCATGCGATTGTGCATATAAACTAAAATGTTCTATTTTTTCAGGTTGGCAGTATCATTAAAAATCTTGAATTACGTGGTAATATCAGTCTAGCACTATTTAGTTCCAAAAAACAGTTTTTGGTTACAAAAAATCACCTAAGGTCATTCTTGTCTTGATTCTTTTCTTGGCCAGTCAAATTAAAGAATATTAAACTTAAAATCTGTGAAAATATATTCAAATCCATTTTCCCATTCATGTCCAATAACAAGCATTCACCTTTTTACCATATTTTCAGTTTCTTTTCCATTCTTCCTAACTATCTTTTAGCCACAACAAATACCTATATGTTACTCCAAAAATAACTTATGAAACTGTTAATTTAGTACAAGCCCATCACTGATGTGGCCCGGTCAATCTGTAAATCAGGTCCGCAAAAAAATGAAAGTTCCACATGCGTGTGTCCCACTGACCAACATCGGATTTCCAATAAAAAACGGCACAGCTCCGTGTGTACATATACGTATATCTTCACGCATGTTTTTAAAACGCGCTCGATTTCTTTACATCCTTAACCTACTTAAATGAATTAATCTTGTATTATAAATGATTGTAAATATTGTATTATAGATGATTTGTAAAGATGGTTTTTGAGTAGCTACATGAAATAAGGCAAAGAAAGAAATATCTGAAGACATTACTTAATTTAAAAAAAAACGCGTGATTTATACTATTTCATTTAATGAATCATCTACAGTGCGACCAACAATAACCGACATAGTTGGTAATACTGTGTTAGAGGATTTAAATGATTCTTCTTCTTCTTTACGTGCCGTCTCTTTCGTGGAGGTTGGCGATCACATTGGCAAAATTTTCACGATTTCCTTATGAGTTCTTCAAAAGTTAGGTGAGCCCAGTTTCACAACCAAGATAGTTTCTTCCTGCCGAGACCTCTTTTTCCTTCAATTTTACCCTTAACTATTAATTTTAAGACGTGGTTTTGTTCATTTCTCAATATATGCCCCAAGTATGATGTGTTTCTTATTTTTATTATATTGAGCAATTCTCTTTCCCTGCCTATTCTCTTGCAGACTTCGGTATTTGTGATATGGGCTGTCCATGGAATTTTAAGCATTCTTCGATATA